CCTGAGCCTTATTGGGAATGTGCTTTTTGCATTTGGTAAACATTCATTGGTCAGAAGCAAACACTCTACTCCACACTTGCTGTTGCTTAGTTAGAGAAAACATTCAGAACGAGAAACAACAACAGTGAATAGTAAGATGAGGAATTTATTTTCTGGACAAGATGGAACTTTTCCTTCACAGCTGGTTGTGGAGTCATGAATGATAAGAACCAACAAGAAGCAAATAGTTGATGGAGACCAGAGATCGACGGAGATTTAATCATTTATATGTATTAGTCACCAACATGACTCTGAATAATAACTAATGCAAATCAACTTTATAAGCTGACAGTGTGTCAGTGCTGTGTCTACAACTATTTGAGCGGCCCCCAAAAGAGAAGCCAATACTTCTGAACTTCTAACTAAAACAATGCAACCACTTAGAATTAATTTGATCATTTTCGCTGCTGAAACCTCCCACAAGCTTCAGATGAAGTTTGGAAAACATGACACACAGATGAGGATGGAAGGATTGTCTTTGTCCCATGTGTCTATTGCATTAAGAAGGGAACTCGTCATGAACAGTATGTGCAGAAGGAAATTATTACAATGGCCAATAATTTGAGGTCGAATAATACATGTTAATGTATATTATAAATCATTTCCTTGCAGGCTCCCTCACAGTCTTCATCAGTAATATAAAGATATGAAACTCGCTCGTCTTCATCGGGCTGGACCATCATATTTTGTTTTTGACATCATATCTTGATGATCTGTTTTTTCCATGGCTTGCATGGGATGATTCATTTTTAGCTTTTCACACTCACTGGCTTCACCACAGCTCCAGATTTTGGCCTATTATTAGTCTCTTTTCTGCAGGAAACAAGGTCACTTGTCTTATTAGGCTGTCACTGCTCATCTGGCCTTAAAGCAACATGCCACCCAGAGTTAAACCGAGTCTGCATCATGCACTAAATCCCCTGTTCATTTGCACATATATCTGACATAACATTGTCAACCTACATTTGAATTGAGATAGCACAATCAAACATCCATTGTTATCATGCCAGCGTAATAGGCCTGGGATTGAAAGAGCAGAATCAAGGGATGCTCCGGCTGCTCGGCCCCTGCTAAGTGAAAGCGGCTGCCCTATTTCTGTCCAGCGTTAGAGCTCAGCTGTCGTCTGGGAGTAGATCACCTCACGAGCACTCACCGACCCTACGCTATTCTCTCTGCCATGCTCTGACGCCCAGAACTAGCCACGGGTGCACCCAAAACTTGAGTGAAGGGTGCTCTTAATAAAATATCTCCTCTCCTCAGGCCATTCAGACCACCAAGTGGCACAGATCATTTTGCCAAGCTGGTGTTTTCGAGACACTTCTGTCAAAATACTGGACCAACCACAGGCTGTGTTAATCAGACGGAGCAGGATGGGTTGCTCTTTCAACCCATTCAACCCGTTCTTATTTGTGCGACAAGTCACAGTCACCAGTTCTATCCCACACGGCACAAGCACAATCTGGGGTCCTGTGTGTTGCTCAAGGACACCCCCGCTATACCTCCTGAGACGCAGCTGCTCATTTTAGGTTAAATTTATACCATACTACACACTGCTGAATAGTTGCATTACAGAGATGTACTGATATTTTTGAAATACAGCCAGTATTTGTATGCAAATCATACCTGCAATACACGAGGTGCTGCTGCAAGGCTTAACAGATGTGGTCCATATTGTTAAAAGACTGAGTGCAACAGAGAAAGAGGAACCTACAACCATGTGTGTGTATATAGAGCAGCTGAGAAGAACGCCGCAGTGTGTGACCACCGTCCAGATCAGGTTTCTATTTTTATTCATCTTGATGAGAATGGGCTGACACAACCTCAGCCCTCCACCTCCTTTATCCCTTCTGCCTCTTCCGGCTCCCTCACTCTCTAACTCTGTGCCAATCGCTCCTCTTCTTCACCGCCTGACAAACGATTGGCCTTGGACAGAATCAGAATCTCATTCCACTCTGCCCCTAAATACTTTGACAGTTGAAGCCCCGTGGTGACATTGGATGGAAGGTGAAGTTCTACACATAGTTAACATGCAGTTAAATGGAGGTCTGTTCATCGGTGGTGGACGGTGGGTCGAGCTCAGTCCAGCACATGATGTCACCTTGGTGCTGTTCGTTCGTGGATGAACGATTCCAAGAAGAAAGTTTTTTGTTCCATAGAAATCAGGCCTCTGTTGACCTGCTAACTCTCACCTGATACCACAAACCACAACGAGATTTTCAGGGTCTGAAAGGTTGAGCGAGCACTATCAGAATATTTCTCAACATCACTTTTCAGACGTCCTCCGATAACATCAAAGCTCGACTATTTCTATCTGCTGGATAGCGCTGCTGTCCAGACCTGTGAGGTTGGGAGAGGAGATGAGTGTGTCAGTGTCGCGGGCGCCAACATCAGACTCTGGGTGACATGGGAGCATGGGAGCAGGGTGTCTGGCTTCCCTCAGATGGGACCAGGTTTTCCACACATCAGCAGTCACCCCGCTGTGAGTGCTGCTCGTCTGGGTCAGCAGGACGGACAGGCTGCTGGATGTGACGGGATAAAGTTACTGCACAAGATCTGAACATAAAACATCTTCCCTCTCTGATCTCACTGCTGTGAACTTTGGAGGCCTGATATCATGACCAGTCTAGACTGACTCCTCTGATTACTGATTATATTGTAGTAATGTTGAATATTATTTTCTCAGCAAGATACAGCGTTTGTCCAGATTGTTACTATTCTTATTTATTAAACAGGGATGGTCTTGAGAACAGCATCTAAGCACGACTCATCAATACTGAAAGCTGAACAATAAAATAAATAACATAAAAATAAATACAATTTGATTGCTTGTGAGTAGAAATTGGTTTTCAGAGGATGTTTCTAATCAGTAATTACAAAGAGCTTCACCGTTCGAGCTGTTCAAATATTAAAATATCAGATCTACAAAGAGGCAATATTTAGGAAATAAGCCTGTTTAACTGAGAGAGTCACATTGATCTCAGCAAAACTTCTGGGACTCTGATACACTGATATTCCCTTACATCTGTAATAATTGACATTGGTCTTTTTCTAACACGACTTAAATTTAACTTGTTAAAACCTCAGGAAATTTTAATTATCTAATTTAAAACAACTTTTTGAAACCACTCTAAGTTTAACTAGAGTGGTTCTAGGTTTAACTAGATTAAGTTCTACTCGTTTCTGTTTGTGCTTGAAGTATTGAAACATTCTGCAGCTCTGTAACTTCCCCCTCGCTCTGTGCTGTCAGTCCATCCCACCAAACAGCAGCTTACACATCACTCCTGCCCTCCTCATATCATCACACACTGGAGCCTCATGGCCAACAGCTTCCTGACACTGACGCTGTTGGTGTTCCACCATCTCGATGACTCAGTGGAACCACAGTCACTTCCCATAACATTTGTGTAGCGCTGAGGATCCGTCCTCTCGTCCTTTGAGAGTCTGAACCTCCTTGTTCTCCCTCAGAGTCCCGTGTGTCTCAGAATGAGTCTCCTTCTCTGCATTTGCAGACAATAAATTATTCAAATACGTCTATGCTCAGTGCCGGTGACATGAAGAATGAGAAAATTGGGGTTGGTGGCGGATTTAACACAATAACCCGTGGTCACAGTTATGTAAATGTTTTGGGTCATGATTCTGCTTGAACAGCTTGTTATTCAGGATGTCAACCTCAGGTTCAGCGGGTGGGTGGTATCTGATCCAGCACAAGCAGCATCATTCTCTTTTTTTAAAATGTCTTCAAACACAGAAATAACATCATTATCTCCTGTAATGACACCTGAATTTATATATGAAAAGGCTGCTGCCTTTAAACCCACAACTTGAGTATGAGGAGCCGATTCCGCACCCCCTGCTGTGTACACATGGGTGTCTGCCAACAATAACACATGACAGAGCCAGAATAAAAAACACTTTATGCCGGGCCACCATGTTTTTACTCCAGGTTGCGTTGGACCACCCTGGTTCTTAAGTCCACTAGACATTCCTGGCACTTGAAGTGTTACCCATCAAATCATTACAGGTACTTTGTGGTGAGATTTTTATTTTCCCTCAGTGAGCCATGTGTTTTTATTGGATGGAAACTAAACATGTTAGACATGACACGGTCGGAATACAAATTTCATTTGATGTGGTTTTGTATGGAAGAAAGCGGAGCATCCAAAATTAAAGCTGATTTATTTAGCATGACTGAACAACAGGTTATTGTTGGTTATGTTCTGAATATTTTTCTTAAGATTATTGATTAAAACGCTGTGTAGTTGATCATTTGATTTCGCAGGTGGGTTAAAAAATCTGGATAAGGACTAAAAAAAAAATTCAACTCTTTTTGTGAAAATAAATATTGAAGATTTGGACCCTTTATCTCTTTATATTCAGTGCTGAAGTAATTTATCATTCCAAGAGGATCACACAAACAAAACACGTGTACTATACATTCAATATACTAAGTAAACTCATGATTTTCAGCACAATACAGGCAAAAAAAATTCTTATCATAAAACAGGAGACAAGATTCATGATAATCCTTTATTAGTCTCACTGTGAGGGAAAAGTAAAAATAGACGCCCAGTAAGAGTAATAAATGAGTAAACATAGAATATAAACACAACAATATAGTATGTGCAATGATAACTGAATATATGTGCACATAGACGATGTTGACATTGGACGATAGAGAGATTTGACAGAACAACTTTTAAAAAAGTTGGTAAAACTATTATTATTATAATCATTACAATTGTTGCTGTAATTATCACGATGATTTTTGTTGTTGTTGTTGTTGTTGTGACTATTAATGTTATCATTGAACTGTGGGTGAACCATGACCCGCATGTGCCCTGCAGTCTGTACACAGTTTAAAAAAACAAGAGTGTATAAATAGAAAGTTTCCACTTCACATGGAACAGACTGAGGACGCACATGAGTTTACTGTCCGCTCTTGTGTACTCGGTAGTATTGTGTGTACTCTGTAGTATTGCGTGTACTCGGGGATTATCACACCGCTCACTTTCATAATCTGATGATGATGACGTTATACTGCAGCTCCTGAGCGCCACTTCTCGCGAGATTACGGAAACAACCAGACGTCCTCTCTCTCTCCCCCCGTCTGTGTGTCTCTGTGTCTCTCCCTCCCTCCCTCTCCCTCTCTCGCTCTCTCTCTCTCTCGCTCTCTCTCCCTCCAGCCCTCCCTTCCCACGCCCCAGTGCGCTGTGGGACAGTGCTGCTATAAAGTATATCCTCTCCCGGAGAAAGATAAGAAGCCCGAGACAGGAGGGGGATGAAGATGGCGGACGCCAAGCAGAAGAGGAGCGAGCAGCTGAAGCGGTGGCTGGGCTCGGAAACGGACCAGGAGCCGCCGGAGCTGAAGAAGAAGAAGACGAAGGTGAAGTTCGACGATGGCGCCGTGTTCCTGGCCGCCTGCTCCAGCGGCGACACCGAGGAGGTGCTGCGAATGCTCGACCGGGGCGCCGACATCAACTACGCCAACGTAGACGGTCTCACCGCCCTCCACCAGGTTTGTGTCGGCCTCTCGTAGGTGTTCCGACAGCCGCGACGCTAATGTCGGCTCGCCGCTAGCTCGCCCCGGGGAACACCTGTCAAATGGAAGCCGTTCTCATCCCGTTGTTTACCTACCGAGCTCAGCCGTCCCCCCCGTTCGACGCGGAGTCGGGCTGGACGCTCCAGCTTCCTGGCGGCGGGACGTTGGGAAACTGTGCTAACTGTGCATGCAGCTTTCGGAGCGATGTTCCCCGCAGGCAGCGGAGTTAAAAGCTACTTCCAGCAAGTCCACATCCCCAGGTCCACGGGTGCAGTCTAATTGCTGCACTTCAGCTTTGCAGCGTTGACATCGTGTATAACGCCGAAGTTAAACGACCCCTCTTGTGTTTGTTATGATTCTGTGGTGTTGTCGGATAAAAGTCATCCCATGTGCAGTGATCGAGTCGCTCCAGCGGCCGAACGTACGTGTTGTCATTGATTGAAACGCTGTCCAGGCTCAATGAGCCCCGCAACAATGGCTAATACCTGGCGAGCAGTTTTGTTGATAAACCCCGCACCGCGACCGTGGCTACTCTCTGGAGAGGAAGCGGAGGCTAGCTTAGCTTCACTCGGCTTCGGCGTTATCGTCTCAAGGCCTTGGCCGCATACACATCACTTTCGCTCGGCTGTCACGGTGTTGACATCTGTGTTTTGGAGAAGTGGTTAAAGTGGAGTAAAGTGGCAACCGGGCGTAAATCGCACAGGCTCGATGCTGCACGAGCAAAAAATGTACTCTTAACGCTACGTTAGCAGGCTAGGCTAATTGTCGCTAGCTGTCTAGCTGGAGTTAATTCATTCGTGAGCTCGCAGGAGAGACGACGTCAGCCGACAACTTGTGGAGTCGTCGTTTCGCTCGTCGTGGTTTTTTTTTTTGGTGTCGTCGGACCGAACTAGAATCGAGGCGAAGGCTTTTGCTGGCTCGCCCGGTGTGTTAGCGACGCTAAGCTAACTGTTTGCCCGCTAACCACGGCTAGCTACGTTTACTAGTCTGTGTGCTTTCAAAGCCAAATAATGAAAATGGCAGCCAGTGTTGACTGAGCTCAGACAGTCACTTCACACGCTGCCGTAATGTGCGAGGCTAATGTCTGAGTTACACGGTGGGTGAAACGTGACGTTAGCTCGATGGTGGAGCCACAGAGAGGAGAGTTGGATTCAGTGATGTCTTCTGCACCCACTGTAGATTAGTGATATCTGTCATTGTAATCTGTGAACATGTCACTGTAGTTTATTGACTTATCGATATCGTCTATAGCCTGACTCATTTTGTGTTGTGCTCCAGGTGTGACCTCACCTCTGTCAATCATTGTGAAAGATTAGAACACCGACGATCAGGATTCATTTTCTGATTCAAACTTCTTATGTTATTGCATCTGGTGACATTTCATTTCAACACCAGAGTGTGTCAACACTGTGTATAATCTGCACTGCTGTACGTCAAGCACAGTGTTTTCCTCATTAATGCAGTCTGAATGTTCATTTGTTAGGTCTTGACACTAAACTTTTAAAAGAGACATTTTCATTTGACTAGATTTGTACCCAGGACTTTGCAGATTTGTGTATGAACTTAAATCTCCTAGGATTTAATACTAACGGATTTCCAGTTCCAGTTATATCTTGTGGTAATTCATATTTTATCGTTCCCATTAGTTTGAATAGTGTTTCAATGCTTTTAGGGTGAACCGATTCTCAAATTAAACGTTTAGTGCAAGCATAGATCTCCGGTGATGTCACCTCATTACTCATGCCCTCATGTCTAGTCTTATGAGCCTGTCTTGTAGTATATTACACCACCTTGTTTCAAGGTATGTTTGCTGTCCAGGACCTACTCGCACTCCAGTAAAAGTTTTAAAAACAAGTTTTCGAGGAAAGGTAATACGCTTTGAATTCATTTTGATTTGTCCGTGGGTTTATTAGTTGTGTTGTTAAATCAGCCCTTCTTTTTGCAAAGTCGATTAAATCAGGAATTAACGTGCCCCTCTACCTCACCCCCACCACCGTGCAAGCTCATTGGGTGGAAACGTTGCCTTTTTTTGGGCTGATGTACAGGGACGAGCTAGAGTGAGGAAAGAATTTGCAGTGCTGCTCTCCAGACCTGACCATCTCTGGATGAGAGGCTGTTGCGAATGTGTGTTGTAGATGAGCAGGTGATCCCTGGTTATGGGGTCTTTGTAAAAGAAGTTGAGGGATGCGATATAGATATGTGTTTTAAAGTGCTTATCCTAGAATTGCAGCAGCATCACACTTTTACTTTGAGAAACTAACTTTTGAGCATGTGTTTCTTTATAGCATGATCAATGAGTCTAATCACAGGTAATTTTGACAGTTGAATTTGGTTTTGTTGTGACATGTGTTGTGTTGTTACACGAGGGTCCACTTCTCACTGGGTGCAGCGATATCACTCGCCATCGCTGGTGACCAGTGCAGGGTTATAAATACCTCCAGCACAAGTTCTCCTAACTGGGTTTCAGGAGATGATACTAAGTTTGGATATGACTCAGAGTCTGTAGCTCTGCTTTGTAGTGCGCTCCTGGCAGTCACACATTTAGGGGGTTTTGTGTCTCTGTGTGAGTCACAGACCTTCTGTCACTTTAAAGGAGAAATGTTACTGAAGGACCCGTAAACATGATCCCTGTTGTTGTCTCCGTCATAGCAAAGCCCACAGATTCCCATGTGTGTATGAGCGTTGTTAGGCCTGAGGTTTGAAGAATTAACCAGTCGTGTTATGTGACATCTCTGGTTTTTTGTTACATGCTAGAACAGTAGTAAGACTTTAAGACATCTTTCGTAGTTTAGAAGCCACATTTAATTTTGTGATGTTATCGACCAGGACAGACGGGTTCACCCAAACACAGACTGCATGAGCTCAGCTGCACGGCAGCGAGGATGCACAAGTGCACAAAGGGTCCAGTCGAGTAGACAAGTGGAGATTCCAGATCCCATCAGGCTAAACTTGTCTCAGAGCGTGGCATTCCAAGTCCTGTCGTCCTAGCCCGTGCATTCTTCAGATGACAGTCGCTGGAAACCATGGCAAAGCGAGAGGAGAGCAGACATTCCTCAGCTGTCACCTAAACCCCTCCCCTCAAGTCATTCTCTCTCTGGCTTGCCTCTCCCTGCACTGTGCCAAAGCAAGGCCCAGCTGACTGTTGCCCACTGAGCTCCATCAAGGCAATTAGTGTGGAGGTAACCCGGGCTTGTCGCTTCACACAAGAAAATCTCCACGCTGACCTACACCTGAACTTTTTCCTTTAGTATTCAAGACCCTCACTGATCCCTAGGACCAAGGTGACAGGGCTCAGCTTAGCATGTCAGTGTTGGTTCTTACAATGCCTGTGCTCTGTTGACATTACACACCCTCATTATGGCCCTGAAGTCTATGAACATTATCTTGCACGGTCTCCATGACAACGACTCAGGGAAGGTTGCTAGTCACTTGTGTTGGTGGATTTGCATGTACTGAGTGGGAGTTGCATAACACACTGAGCAGAGAGAGGGAGCGAGAGAGTGAGTCTTTGGCAGCACTTGGCAGTTTGAAATGAGAATCAACTTCATGAGTCTTGTAATGGAACAATTACTGAGCATGTGGTGGAAGATGGCGAGGTGGCTGTGTTTCTCTTCATCCAGACCAGCATCAGTCATATTAACACATTACATAATTGCTGTGGATCTCACTTCTGCCCTGACCATGAGACTCTCAGCGGTGCTTGTGACCGGCCTGTGAAAGGAGCAAAAAAGAAACTTCCCCATCTTCCTGACAGAGGCATCGCGGCATCCTCTTACAGACCCCAACCTCTCCGTCTTTCTGCCCGAGGGAGAAAGTCCCGACATCTCATGTAGAGAGGCCCCTTGGCTGAGACAGGCGAAACATGTGTGCATCACATTGCATTACACAGCCTCGCTGTAACGCTCACCTGTTCTGCTTGTCTACACAATAGAGAGATAGGTACAGACTGAGCAAGCCATGAATACGAATGTTGCAACGATTCTTGAGATGTAGTTATAAAACCCTTTACATTAACCATAAACTTTATTATGAATTATTATAAATATAATAAACATTTAATATCTGTACGTGTCCCCAAATGTAAACGCTGATACCGATATATCTCTGAAAGGCTCATATGCAGCAGATGTCTGTCAGCAGAGGACATTTGTTCCATTGTTGTATCATTTACAATAGAATTGTGAGTATAAAAAAAGTATTTGTGTACTCTGAATGGCCTGTTCTTTAGACAAGGCTGTATTGGCTGCAAGGGCTGATATGTGTGACTATTGTAGTACAGTTCATGGTACAAGGGTAGTTTGGTGTACAGCCAGTATGTCCATTTCTTTTGTGGAATTGATGCTCTTAACTGCTGCTTCTATGATGTAACCAGCTGAAGAGTTGTCAGTGGGAAGACGGGTAGATAGGCTTCACAGTTGACATGGCGATGGTAACCTGCATTTAAAAAGACACAAAATTATGTTAACTCCAGTATTTAGTCTGTAACACGACCTTGGTGCCCATACTCTCTTTCAATATATGTGGGTTTCGTAAGCGGTCTGTTTTCACATCACTTTTCTAGCAAATGGCTACACATAGCTTCCCGGCTCCTTTGTTACAGTTTAAGGTTGTCTTACTGTAGCAGCTAGTCATTCATGCATTTCTAACATTTTGCAGAATACATTAAGGTGCAATTTAATAATTCATAGACTGGAATCTAGACTGTCTAGATTTTATTGTTCTTTGTCTAGCTTGACTAGTGCCAATTCTCCGTGAAAGTGGTTAGTTATTATTGTGCTTTTATATTTTACTGTGGCTAAAATTTAGAATTACTGCTTGCTGCATGAGTTATGATTTTGTACTGTGGCCAGTGACATATCTTTGTTTGATATTTAGAAACCCGACCACATTCTGACATTAATCATAGCTTAATTTGCTTGTATTCTTATTTATCTTTCTGTTGCCATTACTCAAAATGTTGATGAAGGATCAGCGTT